GGGATCCACAAAATGTGGCTGATATCAGGCGCTGGGTGAGTTAGTTAAACCCTCTCAACCTCAGTTGCCTAATCTATAAAATGAGCATTCATAATTATGTCTTTCCCTCCTCAAGGAGCCCAGATCAGACCAGACCCTGGTCCCTGACCTGAAGGTTTTGGGGAGTGAAGAGAACATGTGACCTTGTCCGTCAGATACCTGACCCTCAGCAGACCCTCTAGAAACGGTCACTCTTGTGAGCTCATAAACTGTTCAACTAGTGCTAAAAAGGACAAGAATTATAGCGTAATCACAAATTATGGAATGTATCTTCTGTCAGCAAGAGGAGGAGACATGAGCTGAAGCTGTAGTGAAAAATCATTAAAATGTTGGGAGTTTGCTGAACGTGAACTCTTCATTTCTTTCCTCCTTGTTGTGTTTAAATGGCTCCTCTTACCACCTGCTGTGTGTGGAGACACTGAGTCATAAATGTTCAGGACATTAGTTCCTGGATTCTAACTGGGGCTGGGGGTGTCTGTCCAGCTGTGTGAGCTCAGGGCCCAGAGCAGGACCTCCAGCCCCACTTCGCCCCACCTCTGTAGGACCTCAAAGTCCCCTGGGGTGATGTCCCTCCCACTCTCCTCCTCCTACCCTGGGGCAAAAATTGTTTCTGAAAAGTTTCCAAACTTGAGTCCATTGCTGGCCGAGCAAAGACAGATCCCAAGGGAAAAAATAAACAAACAAGAAGAATCAAGAGAGTTCATTCCCTCCTTACAGACACGGTGTATTCATGAAATTCAGCCAGGACTTCCAGGCAGTTACCAGATCCCGCACCCTGAGCTGCACGTTCCTCCCCCAGGTACTGGGAGTATCCGCTGCTACTGATTAAAGGCTGCCCTGCTCTCTAGGGAATCTCCCGGGGCCAAATTGAAGCCACTTCACCTGGGAGCTTGGTGCCTCCTGGGGGATAAGAAGACCAGTCTATGATGGGGTACAAAAGGCTGGCCTGTGCCTCCAAGTGGGATCTGCTCTATTACAAATGTCTTTCAGGGTTCCTATGGAATCAATCTCCACAGAGAGCACATCTTCACCCAGCTTTTCCCCTTGCCCACCCAGATCCCCTCATTCCCTTCCCCTGAGATCACTCTCTCAGTAAACTATTTGTGCCAGAGCCCTCAGGCCCTGCTTTTACGGAACCAGACCTAAGACGGTGGCTGAGCCCGAGCTAATGTGTGCACAGTGGCATTCAGCTGAGGGGCATAGAAGCACTGAAATTCAGCCCAAACTCTGTGGGCCAAGCAATGCAAGGAATGGAGGGGCTTGTCTGATTTGCCCAAAGCCACCGATTAGTCTAGACTCAGTCCTGGACGGACGGTCCTGGGATTTTAAACTCAGGGGCTCCAGCTTCAGAGCCACTCCTCGGTCATGGTCACGGTCACAGTGTAGTGCTACCTCCTTAGAAAAAAAACAAGACAAAGAAAACTAAGGTGAGAGAGGGGGAGAGCTGTATAAGCCAAAAGGTACCCTTGTGACCACCACCCTAAACAAACTAACTTACCGAAGTGTCTGTTGAAAGAACCATTTTCCTGACCCATCTCAGAGCAAGTTGCCAACCTCATATTTCACACCCCCTGAGTCTCACGCAGACGACGACATCTCTACATGACCACAATATGACCTCCAAGTCAGGAAGTTAACGCTGACACATTACTGCCGTCTAACCTCAGAGCCCCCAGTTCCCCACCTGTTCCAACAATGTCCTTGTAACAGAAGGATCCAGCCCTCGAGGTGTGTTTAGATGTCACCCCTCTGTGGTCTCCTTCTGGAACATTTTCAGTCTATCTTTGGTTTTCATGACATTGACTCTTTCGAAGATTCCAAACCAGTTACAGACAAGGAGGAGAATGTTCCTCCGTTTGGATTTGCCTGACTCTTTTCAGGATTTCCTTCAGGTTTGCCTTCTCCGCAGGAATATCACACAGGTGAGGTGAGCTGTTCTCACTGGGTCCCATCGGGTGAAGCACGATCAAGTCATCCCATCCCTGATGCTGCTCTCTGATGAGGAAAGGGCTGTCTGCCAGGTTCCTCCACTCTGAAGTTACCCCTTCTGCTCTACAATTAATGGGTATTCTGAGCAGCACTACTTTGAAGCTATGTAAGTTTCCTCGTCAAATTGCAATTTATCCATTAATTTATTTACATATATCTGTATGTACTCATGTTTTCCTATTTTCTTGAATGGCTTAACAGCTCTTACTATCCTTATTTATTATGATGCTCAAATGGTCTCTGATTTGGGCAGTGGAAGCCCCTCAGGCTGGCTTTTGGGTCCTTTGGACACATCCCCCTCAATGTTTACAGTTCCTTGCTTTCTAGCCCAAGACAGTCCATTGTCGTCATGTACTTTCCCAGCCCTGGAATCAGCCATTTCTCTAAGGAGCCCAATTCCTTTCAGTGGAAAATGATATTTATAATCCAAGATCTGGGCACAAGGTATGCTTATTGCTATTAGGGTGTTACTGTTTCTACACTATATCAGTGGAAAGCAATAGGTGTTATGTGTTTTTGTAGCTACACAAACACACACACATACCTATCTATCTATATCTGTAACTCTCTGTCATCTGTCTATCTATCATCTATTTATCTATCTATCTATCTATCTATCTGTCTATATCATCCAGCCTGCTATCATCTACCTACATAGAAAAGCATGGATTTAATATGACCCTGCAATCCCACTTCTAGGCATATATCTGGAGAAAAACATGGCCCAAAAGGATACATACACCCCAGTGCTCATTGCATCACTATTTACAATAGCCAGGACATGGAAGCAACCTATTTCCATTGACAGAGGAATGGATAAAAAAGATGTGGTACATATATACAACAGAATATTACTCAGTCATTAAAAAGAATGAAATAATGCCATTTGCAGCAACATGGATGGACCTAGAGATTGTCATACTGAGTGAAGTAAGTCAGACAGAGAAAGAGAAATATCGTACGATAACCCTTATATGCAGACTCTAAGAAGAAATGATACAAATGAACCTATTTACAAAACAGAAACAGACTCACAGACTTAGAGAACAAGCTTATCATTACGGGGCGGGGGGATAGTCAGGGAGTTTGGGATTGACATGTACACACTGCTATGTTTAAAATGGATAACAAACAATGACCTACTGTATAGCACAGGGAACTCTGCTCACTGTTATGTGGCAGCCTGGATGGGAGGGCAGTTTGGGGGAGAATGGATACATTATATATACGGCTGAGTCCCTTTGCTGTGCACCTGAAACTATCACAACATTGTTTTGTTTTGCTTTGTTTTGTTTTTATATATTTATTTACTTAATTATTATTTTTATTTTTGGCTGTGTTGGGTCTTCGTTGCTGTGTGGGCTTTCTCTAGTTGTGGCGAGCGGGGGCTACTCTTTGTTGCCGTGTGTGGGCTTCTCACTGTGGTGGCTTCTCTTGTTGCAGAGCACGGGGTCTAGGTGCGCGGTCTTCAGTAGTTGTGGCTTGCGGGCTCTAGAGCTCAGGCTCAGTAGTTGTGGTGCACAGGCTTAGTTGCCCTGTGCATGTGGGATCTTCCCAGACTGGGGCTCGAACCCATGTCCCCTGCATTGGCAGGCGGATTCTTAACCACTGCATCACCAGGGAAGCCCTCACAACATTGTTGATCAGCTATACTCCAATATAAAATAAAAAGTTAAAAAAGAAAAGCATGGATTTACACTGATACATTCAGTTTCAATCGCTGACTCCACGGGGTTTATTCTGGTTTTCTCCCTCTCTGAATCAGTGACTCTCTTCTCCAACAGTGAGAATTCTGCCTTCCACCATCCTTTATATATTTACTTACTTGATCACCCCTCCTTTATGTACCCAAATCCATGATCCATCCCTTTCCACTCATGATGCCCCCTCCCCTTACCCTACTTGGGTTCTCCACACCCTAGTTAGTCTCTGGCTGCTGTTACAGGCCACCCCTATGAGTGGGTATTTTGGGTTCCCACACCCATGCCAGGCTGCCATCCCTGTGGACACCCTCTATTCCCTACTTTGCCTCTGACTTGGAGTCACTGTGAACCCTTCTCTGCTCCTGCCCTGCAGTGTGAGGCTGCCCACGTTCTGTCCCCCACTTACTGGTTTACGGCTGGATTATCCAGGAGGGCAAGGCAGGGGAAGGAAAAGGGAGGGAAGGGGGAGAAGAGGGAAAGGAAGAGCCCTGTACCCTTCTGATACCAAATGAAACTGACCAGTGCTTGTAGCCTTTCTGCCCAATCAACTGACCAATCAGCCACCTTTATTCCATGTTCATTGCATTAAGACAGTTGGGAGTCGAGGATGGAATACAAAGAGGTATGAAAACATACATGCTCCGGGACTTCCCTGGTGGCACAGTGGTTAAGAACCCGCCTGCCAATGCAGGGGACACGGGTTCAAGCCCTGGGTCCGGGAAGATCCCACATGACATGGAGCAACTAAGCCCGTGCGCCACAACTACTGAGCCTGCGCTCTAGAGCCCACGAGCCACAACTACTGAGCCTGCATTCTGCAACTACTGAGCCTGCGTTCTGCAGCTACTGAAGCCCGTTCACCTAGAGCCCATGCTCTGCAACAAGAGAAGCCAACGCAATGAGAAGCCCGCGCACCGCAAGGAAGAGTAGCCCCCGCTCGCCGCAACTAGAGAAAGCCCGCGCGCAGCAAAGAAGATCGAACACAACCAAAACTAACTAACTAAATTAATTAATTAATTTTAAAAAAGAAACAAAACATATGTGCTCCAAAAAAGGTAGATTTAAACTATAAAGGTAGATTTAAAAGGCAGATTTCTAAGCACTGGGAAAAGTCACAGTCAATGAACTCTTACCTACTTAATATGTCAACCTGGAGTTTTTAAAAGGCCCCACCCACCAGGGATTGTGATGGTCAAAAGCATTTAGTCCCTGAGTCTCTCTGATTCTGCTGTATACATTCCCCCTAATGTGCACAAAGGCATCAGATTATACTTTTGTAAAGAGATATTTATTGACTTGCTCAATGTAATATTTAATTTAGAATATCCAAAATAAAATCTGTGACATAAATGTCACTACTTCAGTCACCACAATCATTCTTATTTTCATTAGAATTTGTTGAGAAATTTTCATTCTGATCAGTGCTCAGGAGGAGTAGATGGTACTAACTACCATCAGGAAGTGGATGGAGATGGTCCTAGGAGAGCCCATGAAGTTGAGTATCCGGCACCTACTTGTCACCTCCTTTATATGACGCAATATATAACACTCCACATAGACAATGAGAAAGCTAAATGATTGGGCAGAATACCTAATCATCCATCAAGGGCAGTAGGTGAAGCCTATCTTCATTTAATGGTTTTATCACAAAGTAAGTAAAGTCTCAGGTGTTCCTGGATACAGCTTCCTTGAAGATCAAAGCCCATGTCCTTCGAGAAAGTCAGGCTCCGCTTACGGTCGCATCTCTTGACACAACCTTTAGAACAACAGGTTTTTCCAACTGCGTAAGTCCTTGAGAGAGCACTTTCAGGGGGATCTGCAACATTTAAACAAACAAATGAGAACCGACTGATGGAGCCCCACCAACAAAAAAAAGCAAAGTAGACGAGATACATTATGGACAATAATGCTTTACAAACATGTAAAAGCTACTTTTAGCATCATGTATATTTGATTTTTTTAAACTACCGATTCAGTATGTTTGATAGATAGCGGGACAGATATAGGGACAGCCAGGATGTCTATATTTTCTTGATTGAATGTTAATGGTTTGTGTCTTTCAGAGAACTGGTCTATTTAACGCATATTATAAAACATATGGGAATACAGTTGTTCACGGTATTCCCTTTTCATATCCCATCAGAATTTAACTTCCATTTTTATTGCAATATAGTTGACTTACAGCAGTGCATAAATTTAAGGTGTACAGCAAAATGATTTGACTTACATATATCATAAAATTATTACCACAGTTTTGTTAACATTCATCATCCCATATAGATAGGAAAGGAAAAAAATAAATATTATTTTCCCTTTGTGAGAACTCTTAGGACCCACTCTCTTATACCATACAGAAATATTAACAATAGTCATTATGTTTTGCATTATAGCCCTAGTACTTATTTATAACTGGAAGTTTGTACCTTTTGCACACCTTCATTCAATTTTCCCTACCTATCTTTGATTCTTTATATTTATTCTATAAGCTGTGCTAAGAGGGATGGTGAAAGAATTCATCCATCATTCATTCTGCAAAATATCTATTGAGCACCTATTCTGTACCAGGCTTGATACAAAATCAGGTTGGCCTGTGTTCTTTATTGATTTAAATTTTAAGCAAAAATACTGAGTTTTAAAAGCATAACAGATTCTTAGGCATTATGGCAAATTTCTCGGAAAAGGATATAGAGGTAATTTTGTGTATGTTGGAACTTACAAGGTAATCCTGAATAGGTATTACAATTTTAATTGTAAGCACGTTCCTCAACTTCTAAAGCGTCCAATCACCTCTCCCAGTAGAATCCACCCAGTTTCATGATGGGAAGAGGTCGTTGTGAAGCATTATGTCTGTTTCTTAACACCTCCTGGCTCCAAGTGTAGTGCAAATGGTGAACTTCTGATGACCACAGTGTTTGTTCCAGTACTTTTAGCCCCTTTCTCACCTTTAGCCCCTTTCAGAGTTGGGGGAACCAACAGTGACCTTCTAATCTCAGTTGACTGAAGGGCAAGCAAATTGTCGTGGAGGGAGAAGCCCCAGCCTGTGGATGCCTGGGTGGAGCTTCAGGGAGCATCTGCCCTTCCCAGGTGTGCCAGAGGCCCCCTTTCTCTCAGGGCTGAGTCCCCTGTCTGTACACACCTACAGTACGGACACACAGACTCCCACAAGTAAAATGGAAACCGTCTCTATCCTCCTCTTCCCTGAGAAAGCCTACCCAAGGGGAGGAGCTGCTTACTAAATGTGTGACTCCTAGAAATAAGCCTTATTACAGGGCCGTGCTTGAGATGAATGAACAATGGCAACTGTTCTTTGTGTTCCTCAGAGGAGAGATTCCAGATCTTTCTATATATGTAACACCTTGTATTTTAAAATTTCATATGACATACATATATTTCCCCTGCAGACAAATAGACACACACACACTAAGCATGTACTTACATGTCATTTTTTTATATTTTACAAGTTCAAACTGAACATAATTTGTGTCCCAGAACTCTAACTCAACTGAAAGTCACTCTGCAAGCATTTACCGGATGACTGCAAGGCAGCATTGGGAGTTTATTAAAGAAATAAAATGAGGAGCTAGAGTTAAGGGTATTCTTAGGGGCAAAGAAAACATAAGAACCAAACTGGATGGTTCCATGGCAAAGTGTTAAGTTAGGTGGTAGGATCCATGATGCCAGCCTGTGGTAACTGATAACAGAGCAGAGGAGAGAGTGGGCTTTGAACTGGGTGGGGAAGGCTTCATGGAGGGGCTTGGGATTGAACTAGAGCTTGAAGGGGGAAGAATAGAATGGGGGTGGGGAAGAGCACACATAGAGTTATTATTAGAATGTAAAGGGAGCCCATCGTGATGGCAGCAGGACCCCTGGAAGGTGAGGGGGCTGTGGGAGTCCTTCACATCTGGCAGAAATGCTTTCCATCGGGGGGTCTCACTGTGGCTGCACAGGAGAATCAGTGGGGCCTCTTTGAATGCCACACTCCAGGTGAATTATTTTAGAAAGTCTGAGATGACTTAGGCATCAGGGCTTTTTTAAAGCTCCCCATCAATTTCATTATACAAGCAGAGGCTGAGAACCACTGCCAGGAGAGCTTCTGTAAGCTCTGGTGGAGAAGAGCATCACTGAAGAGCCATGACTTTTCAGTGTGTGCTCTCATGACTGTGCACACACTTCCCTTCATTCCAGTGGACTTGAATGTGGGCCACAGACTTAGCCCTCCATGGATATTGACAATTAAAGATTTCAGATGGCTCCAAACAGATTCTCTGGCTAATAGAATAAATTATTCTTTGAATTGATAACATGCTTATATATATAGAGACCCATCAGTTAAAAAAAAGAACTCCCAATAAAATGTTATTCATGCAGAAAATTAACTACTGACCTGTGTTTCTTTACAAGGTTTGAAGGAGAAGTTCTGCAGGACTCTGACGAGAGCAAGTTTCATGTTCATGATAACAAATCTCATGCCAATGCAGTTTCGGGGTCCAATTCCAAAAGGCAGGTATGTATAAGGATTTATGTTCTCCTTGTTCTTCTTACTGAACCTGTAACCATAAAAGTAGATGAAACAAATTAATGAAACAGAAAAACCACAAGAGCTCCAGACCTGAGGTTTAAACTTAACTCTTGGACCAGCAGCATAAGAGATACCTGTGAGGTCTAGTCATTGAATCCTGCTGTGGTTATTTTGTGTGACAATGGATCCTTCCCATTCCTCTGACTCTACAGGAGCTTTCAGTCCTGTTGAGGAGGTGAGATAAATGCTGTTTAAAGAAAATTTATCTTTAAACACTAAAATTACATTCAGGGTGGTGAGATGTTCATGCTCTGAATCGCAGTTAGGAAATGAGACTGGCTGAAGGAAACATGGGTTCCCATCTCCACGCACACTTATGTGGGTCACATGCTCATGGGGGAAGGAAGCTGGAGAAACGTCTCTGAGTATTTAAATTGTTATTTTTCAATTGTTTTCCTCTCCTTGCCCTTCCAATTCCCTTGTGCCATTCTCTGTCTCTCTGTCTTTCTCTCCCACACAGGGGATGCTTAGGTCAGAATATGTACATGGGCATATGACTCTACTCCAGAATAATCACTGACATCCTTGTCTATCTGTTCCACTAGCCTATAAATTCCTTGATGGTTAGACCTCTGTTCTATTCAAATTTGACTCCTCGATATTTGAATATGCCAAGGAAAAAATGTATATTTGGGGAAAGTGATAATGGCGTTGCAGTTACGTATATTTTAAAGAGGCCCTATTTTGCAAAACATTTTGTAATATCTACAGACAATGTGACTTAAAATAACATGGAGAAGGGCAGCAGTGGCATGTGGATGGGACAGAGACATGGGCTGATGGTTGTTAAGCAGAGAATGTGCACATACAGGTACACTGAAAGCATTTCAGGTGGCTCCACCCCCGTTTCTCGCGCTTCAGCTAGGCCCGCGCTTTCTGTGCATCACCTCAGGGAGCGCTCGCCTAGTGAAGAAGCTCAGGGTAAGGCAGGACTGAGAGCAAGTTGACACCGGGAAGGAGACCCCAAAGAGGCCACAGCTGCAGGAGGCCAGGGTCTGGGCTGCCGTTGGCCTTCCCCGAGGGCTTCGACCGGGCCCTTCAGGCCGCCCGCCTAACGGACCCCACCCTGCCTCACTGACCCAGTTGCCCTCTTGCCAGAATGAGCTGAAGTCTGAAAATTGCTCAGCAGGACCAGGCATAGCACGGGACTCTTCTCTTGTGGTTTCACTTGCCAGTGACCACTATCTTGATAATTCCGTGTGGCTAACAGGGTCTTGGTGCTCCGGCCAGGTGTCAGGCCTGTGCCTCTGAGGTGGGAGGGCCGAGTTCAGGACACTGGTCCACCGGAGACCTCCCGGCTCCACGTAATATCAAATGGTGAAAGCTCTCCCAGAGATCTCCATCTCAATGCTAAGACCCAGCTCCACTCAACGACCAGCAAGCTACAGCACTGGACACCCTATGCCAAACAACTAGCAAGACAGGAACACAACCCCACCCATTAGCAGAGAGGCTGCCTAAAATCATAATAAGGTCACAGACACCCCAAAACACACCACCAGATGCAGTCCTGCTCACCAGAAAGACAAGATCCAGCCTCATCCACCAGAACACAGGCACTAGTCCCCTCCACCAGGAAGCCTACACAAACCACTGAACCAACCATAGCCACTGGGGGCAGACACCAAAAACAATGGGAACTATGAACCTGCAGCCTGCGAAAGGGGACTCCAAACACAGTAAGTTAAGCAAAATGAGAAGACAGAGAAACACACAGTAGATGAAGGAGCAAGGGAAAACCCCACCAGACCAAACAAATGAAGAGGAAATAGGCAGTCTACCTGAAAAATAATTCGAGTAATGACAGTAAAGACGATACAAAATCTTGGAAATAGAATGGAGAAAATACAAGAAATGTTTAACAAGGACCTGGAAGACCTAAAGAGCAAACAATGATGAACAGCGCAATAAATGAAATTAAAAATTCTCTAGAAGGAATCAATAGCAGAATAACTGAGGCAGAAGAACGGATAAGTGACCTGGAAGATAAAATAGTGGAAATAACTACTGCAGAGCAGAATAAAGAAAAAAGAATGAAAAGAATTGAGGACAGTCTCAGAGACCTCTGGGACAATATTAAACACACAAACATTCGAATTATAGGGGTCCCAGAAGAAAGAGAAAAAGAAAGGGACTGAGAAAATATATGAAGAGATTATAGTTGAAAACTTCCCTAATATGGGAAAGGAAATACTTAATCAAGTCCAGGAAGCGCAGAGAGTCCCATATAGGATAAATCCAAGGAGAAACACGCCAAGACATAAATTAATCAAACTATCAAATATTAAATACAAAGAAAAGATATTAAAAGCAGGAAGGGAAACACAACAAATAACATACAAGGGAATCCCCATAAGGTTAACAGTTGATCTTTCAGCAGAAACTCTACAAACCAGAAGGGAGTGGCAGACATATTTAAAGTGATGAAAGGGAAAAACCTACAACCAAGATTACTCTACCCAGCAAGGATCTCATTCACATTCGATGGAGAAATTAAAAGCTTTACAGACAAGCAAAAGCTAAGAGAATTCAGCACCACAAAACCAGCTTTACAACAAATGCTAAAGGAACTTCTCCAGGCAGGAAACACAAGAGAAGGAAAAGACCTACAATAACAAACCCAAAACAATTAAGAAAATGGTAATAGGAACATACATATTGATAATTACCTTAAATGTAAATGGATTAAATGCTCCAACCAAAAGACATAGACTGGCTGAATGGATACAAAAACAAGAACCATATATATGTTGTCTACAAGGGACCCATTTCAGACCTAGGGACACATACAGACTGAAAGTGAGAGGATGGAAAAAGATATTGCATGGAAATGGAAATCAAAAGAAAGCTGGAGTAGCAATTCTCATATTAGACAAAATAGACTTTAAAATAAAGACTATAATAAGAGACAAAGAAGGACACTACATAATGATCAAGGGATCAATCCAAGAGGAAGATATAACAATTGTAAATATTTATGCACCCAACATAGGAGCACCTCAATACATAAAGCAAATGCTAACAGCCATAAAAGGGGAAATCGACAGTAACACAATCAGAGTAGGGGACTCTAACACCCACTTTCACCAATGGACAGATCATCCAAAATGAAAATAAACAAGCTTTAAATGCTACATTAAACAAGACGGACTGAATTGATATTTAAAGGACATTCCATCCAAAAACAACAGAATACATGTTCTTCTCAAGTGCTCATGGAACATTCTCCAGGATAGATCATATCTTGGGTCACAAATCAAGCCTTGGTAAATTTAAGAAAATTGAAATTGTATCAAGTATCTTTTCTGACCACAACACTATGAGACTAGATATCAATTACAGGAAAAAAATCTGTAAAAAATACAAACACATGGAGGCTAAACAATACACTACTTAATAACCAAGAGATCACAGAAGAAATCAAAGAGGAAATCAAAAAATACCTAGAAACAAATGAAAATGAAAACACGACGACCCAAAGCCTATGGGATGCAGCAAAAGCAGTTCTAAGAGGGAAGTTTACAGCTATACAAGCCTACCTCAAGAAACAAGAAAAATCTCAAATAAACAACCTAATCTTACACCTAAAGCAATTAGAGAAAGAAGAACAAAAAAACCCCAAAGTTAGCAGAAGGAAAGAAATCATAAAGATCAGATCAGAAATAAATGAAAAAGAGCTGAAGGAAACAATAGCAAAGAGCAATAAAACTAAAAGCTGGGGCTTCCCTGGTGGCGTAGTGGTTGAGAATCTGCCTGCTAATACAGGGGACAGGGGTTCGAGCCCTGGTCTGGGAGGATATCATATGCTGCGGAGCAGCTAGGCCCGTGAGCCACAACTACTGAGCCTGCGCATCTGGAGCCTATGCTCCGCAACAAGAGAGGCCGCGATAGTGAGAGGCCCATGCACCGCGATGAAGAGTGGTCCCCGCTTGCCACAACTAGAGAAAGCCCTCGCACAGAAACGAAGACCCAACACAGCAAAAATAAATAAGCAAATTACTAAAAAAAACCCTCCTACCCCCAACATCTTCTTAAAAAAAACAAACAAACTAAAAGCTGGTTCTTTGAGAAGATAAACGAAATCGATAAACCATTAGCCAGACTCATCAAGAAAAAAAGGGAGAAGACTCAAATCAATAGAATTAGAAATGAAAAAGGAGAAGTAACAACTGACAGTGCAAAAATACAAAGGATCATGAGAGATTACTACAAGCAACTATATGCCAATAAAACGGACAACCTGGAAGAAATGGACAAATTCTTAGAAAAGCACAACTCTCCGAGACTGAACCAGGAAGAAATAGAAAATATAAACATACCAATCACAAGCACTGAAATTGAGACTGTGATTAAAAATCTTCCAACAAACAAAAGCCCAGGACCAGATGGCTTCACAGGTGAATTCTATCAAACATTTAGAGAAGAGCTAACACCTATCCTTCTCAAACTCTTCCAAAATATAGCAGAGGGGGGGTTCACTCCCAAACTCATTCTACAAGGCCACCATCACCCTGATACCAAAACCAGACAAAGATGTCACAAAGAAAGAAAACTATAGGCCAATATCACTGATGCACATAGATGCAAAAATGCTCAACAAAATACTAGCAAACAGAATCCAACAGCACATTAAAAAGATCATACATCATGCTCAAGTGGGGTTTATCTCAGGGATGCAAGGATTCTTCAGTATATGCAAATCAATCAATGTGATACACCATATTAACAAATTGAAGGATAAAAACCATATGATCATCTCAATAGATGCAGAAAAAGCTTTTGACAAAATTCAACATCCATTTATGATAAAAACCCTCCAGAAGGTAGGCATAGAGGGAACTTACCTCAACATATTCAAGGCCATACATGACAAACCCACAGCCAACATCATTCTCAATGGTGAAAAACTGAAACCATTTCCACTAAGATCAGGAACAAGACAAGGTTGCCACTCTCACCACTATTATTCAACATAGTTTTCAAAGTTTTAGCCACAGCAATCAGAGAAGAAAAAGAAATAAAAAGAGTCCAGATCAGAAAAGAAGAAGTAAAGCTGTCACCATTTGCAGATGACATGATACTATACATAGACAATCCTAAAGACTTTATCAGAAAACTACTATAGCCAGTCAATGAATTTGGTAAAGTAGCAGGATACAAAATTAATGAACAGAAATCTCTTGCCTTCCTATACACTAATGATGAAAAATCTGAAAGAGAAATTAAGGAAACACTCCTGTTTACCATTGCAACAAAAAGAATAAAATACCTAGGAATAAACCTACCTAAGGAGACAAAAGACCTGTATGCAGAAAACTATAAGACACTGATGAAAGAAATTAAAGACGATACAAACAGATGGAGAGGTATACCATGTTCTTGGATTAGTAGAATCAACATTGTGAAAATGACTATACTACCCAAAGCAATCTACAGAGTCAATGCAATCCCTATCAAACTACCAATGGCATTCTTCACAGAACTAGAACAAAAATTTTCACAATTTGTATGGAAATACAAAAGACCCCAAATAGCCAAAGCAATCTTGAGAACGAAAAACGGAGCTGGAGGAATCAGGCTCCCTGACTTCAGACTATACTACAAAGCTACAGTAATCAAGTCGGTATGGTACTGGCACAAAAACAGAAACATAGATCAATGGAACAGGATAGAAACCCCAGAGATAAACCCACGCACCTATGGTCAACTAATCTATGACAAAGGAGGCAAGGATATACAATGGAGAAAAGACAGCCTCTTCAATAGGTGGGGCTGGGAAAACTGGACAGCTACATGTAAAAGAATGAAATTAGAACACTCCCTAACACTATACACAAAAGTAAACTCAAAATGGATTAAAGACCTAAATGTAAGGCCAGACACGATCAAACTCTTAGAGGAAAACATAGGCAGAATACTCTATGACATCAATCACAGCAAGATCCTTTTTGACCCACTTCCTAGAGAAATGGAAATAAAAACAAAAATAAACAAATGGGACCTAATGAAACTTCAAAGCTTTTGCACATCAAAGGAAACCATAAACAAGACAAAAAGACAACCCTCAGAATGGGAGAAAATATTTGCAAATGAAGCAACTGACAAAGGATTAATGTCCAAAATTTACAAGCAGCTCATGCAGCTCAACATTAAAAAAACAAACAACCCAATCCAAAAATGGGCAGAAGACCTAAATAGACATTTCTCCAAAGAAGATATACAGATTACCAAGAGACACATGAAAGAATGCTCAACATCACTAATCATTAGAGAAATGCAAATCAAAATTACAATGAGGTATCACCTCACACCAGTCAGAATGGCCATCATCAAAAAATCTAGAAACAATAAATGCTGGAGAGGGTGTGGAGAAAAGGGAACCCTCTTGCACTGCTGGTGGGAATGTGAATTGATACAGCCACTATGGAGAACAGTATGGAGGCTCCTTAAAAAACTAAAAATAAAACTCCCATACGACCCAGCAATCCCACTACTGGGCATATACCCAGAGATAACCATAATTCAAAAAGAGTCATGTACCACAATGTTCATTGCAGCTCTATTTACAATATCCAGGACATGGAAGCAACCTAAGCATGCATCAATAGATGAATGGATAAAGAAGATGTGGCACATATATACAATGGAATATTACTCAGCCATAAAAAGAAACAACATTGAGTCATTTGTAGTGAGGTGGATGGACCTAGAGTCTGTCATACAGAGTGAAGTAAGTCAGGAAGAGAAAAACAAATACCGTATGCTAACACATATATATGGAATCTAAAAAAAACAAAAATGGTTATGAAGAACCTAGGGGCAGGACAGGAATAAAGACGCAGATGTAGAGAATGGACCTGAGGAGGACGGGGAGGGGGCAGGGTAAGCTGGGACAAAGTGAGAGAGTGGCATGGACTTATACACACTACCAAATGTAAAATAGATAGCTAGTGGGAAGCAGCCGCATAGCACAGGGAGATCAGCTCGGTGCTTTGTGACCACCTAGAGGGGTGGGATAGGGAGGATGAGAGGGAGATGCAAGAGGGAGGAGATATGGGGATATGTGTATACGTAGAGCTGATTCACTTTGTTATAAAACAGAAACTAACATACGATTGTAAAGCAATTATACTCCAATAAAGATGTTAAAAATTTTTTTAAAATAAAGTATTTAAAAGGCTTGTGCCTATAGAATATTCCTGTGTACGTATCAAATCACACATACTTGTGAATATTTTTAAAATTCTCCATAATGGGCTTTTTTCCTAACCTTTGGATTTCTCACTGGCTGGCCCAGTCCCTCACCCACAGGTGAGCATTTATTCTCTGCTTGATGACTGAATGAATCAAAGGGAAATACAGTGAGTGGTCTCTGGTTCCAGGTTCGTGAAGCTGCAGGACAGGGAGCTACTGAGCTTGGAGGAACTGCAGAGGTTCCCTGGCCCAGAAAACAGAGGACTTGGTCCACTCTGACTCTTCTGTCAATAAGTGCTATGTGTCACCATTGTGCTAGCACTCGGGACTCCATGGCAAACAAAACAACTCTTGGCCATCAGGGAGCTGATAGGGTGTAATAAAGGTCTAGATCTCAGCTACTGGCCTAAAAAGTTCATTCCAAATTTTGCTTACCATACACTAAATGGGAGAGCATTAACTCTTTCCAGGGTCCAATCTGTGCCCAAACCAGATCTTGGCTCTGAATTCCCAGAAGAGGATGCTCAAGACCCATCCAAGGAGGAAATCTCAGACATGTAGAGAACAGATGACTTCACTTTGGAAAGTCATCAAATACTGAGGTAGAAGGGACCTGACCCAGGTGTGCAGCCACAGACAGAACCAGGGCACCTGTGTGCACCTCCGTCCTCAGTGAGGCTGCTTGAACCATCAGGGATGAGACCTCTAGGTCCCAGCCTGCACTCTCACAATAATGCTAGAGGAAATGTAGCCAATGTTTAAAAATATGGAATGTGGGAACATGGGGTGAATTCAGAGAGCTAAGAGAGAACAGAGAGAAAGGCTTAAAGGGAATAAAAAGACAGTGGTTAGGTAAATTATGGCATATGCATATAAACATATACACATAGAATGTTGTTTATACTTTACTGTTAAATAAAGAAGTTCAAAACCAAATAAAGTATAATACCATCCTGTTTTTAAAATCTATATATGCCTAGAAAAATGTCCATAAGGACATATATGACATTATAAATGAGGCCTATCTTAAGGTATTAGGAATGTAGACAGCTATAATTTTCTTTTTCTAGTCTATACTTTGTATAATTTTGACTCACATAATGAACACCCTTAAACAGAAAAATCTTCCAACAATAAAAAGATATACAAATAAATTATTGCATGATCACCCACTTGTCAACTATAATAAGAGTTGTCAAAATACGCAAGCACCAAAAAGGATCAGGGTGGGTGTCCTTTCCTCAGGGTCTTGTACCTTTCAGGACGGAACTCCTCAGGCTCTGGCCAGAGCTCTGGGTCATTGTGAAGAACGACGAGTGGCACCACCACTGCTGTCCCTCTGGGAATGAACACTCCATTGACTTCCACATCCTTCTTACAGACCCTCTCAATTCTACCAGCAATTGGGAATATTCTGAGAGTTTCATTCAACACCATGTCAAGATACTCCATCTGTACCAGAGCCTCATAGGTGGGAGGCGCCTGGGAAGAGAAAAAGAGATTTTGATAAATTAAGATTTCGGATCAACCTTCAACTCCATCTGTGTAGTCCTATTGAAATGTTAGGAGCTCCGGGGAATCATTTAAATTGGTAGAGGACCTTAGCATTTATAGACATTTTAATATCTATCATGTGCTTTGACCTGCTCAATGGCCCACAGAGGTGTGTAGAGTGGTTATGACTATGGGCGATGTTAGGACAATGCCCTAAACAGGGCCTGAAATCCCGCACGTTATCATCTAGTGTATTTTCTTTCTCATGAGAACAAACGTGACCAATAGACTATGACCCTTAGTCTTAAGTGAAATAGGCCAAAGTCACTGTTTCCTTTTGAAAGTGAGGCCACACATCTGTACCAAGGAAAGAAATGTATAAAAGAACAAATCCCCTGTTCAACATAGAGGTTTTTAGTTGAAAACTCCTGACTGCTAATTCTTTTCATTATACATATAAAGTTTGGAATCACTATATTATATGAAAACTCTATAAATAATTTGGGGAGAAACGAGTTCCTTTCTAAACCAAATACAAAAACAAAGAGCAAGATTGGGTGCTACAAGGAACACAATTTCAGATCCAGGGAATGTTACAAGAGGATGAGAACCCTACCCTCAGCCACAGCCTCTGTTGCTGGAACAGTCTCCTATTGTCCCTTCAGGGGTGACTGTTAAGGTCTGAAGGTCTAAACAAGCCACTCCAGCCCCAGAGGCCAGCTCTCCTCACACCACAAAGAATTCCACTTTTGGCAGAGATCTGAGACCAGTGGGGGTGACACGTGGCTGTCACGTGGGGTTATATTTAAGGGGCAACATTGTAGAGGGTAAGAGTTGGCTCAGGAGACAGACACCCTGGCACATAGGTTGGCGTTTTCACCACTAGGTACACGACTAGTATGTGAAAGTATTTCATCTCTCTGTCGCTCAGGTTTCTGAAACGTTACATGGAGATAATTAGAGTTGACACTTCATAGGCTTGTGTGGCAGACACACACACTGCTCACCCAGTATCCACGTAGTCCCTGTATTTCCCAGCCCACTTGAAGTTACAGGAAACCAGCTTTGCCAATGGACTGTGAACTGAGGCGATTATGTCAGTTCGGGGACAAATCATTTGAAAAGCCAGTGAGCAATGCTCGAGTCCCTTATTCCCCAGACAACAGGAAGTCCTCATGTTCCAGATAAGGTAGCTACAGGAAGGTGGAGCCTCTTAGCCTGTATCCCCGAGTAACGCTGTGGAGCAGAGCTGCCCTCTCCCATCCTCCACTAACAATCCATGTTGGTCATGTAGATATGGGTTAGAAGTAAACCTCTGCTCTGTAAAGCCACTGAGATTTGAGGGCTAACCTGTTACTGAGGCATAACCTAGCTTCTCCTGACTTATACAGAATCTTATGAAGGTTAGATTCATTTATAACTAGAAAGTACTTAGATAGACATATATCGTAAGAAGCAAATGTTAGCCAATAGTGTTGTTATTATAAGTATTATTATAAAAAGGCGAGGACACAATGCTTTAGCTAGCCTGTCTCTTAGTGACCTTTTCACCTTATTGCATCAAAAGAATCCCAATATGAGATTTACCAGAGAAGACAGATCATCTCTAACTTAGGTAGGCACTACAATCTATCCTTATCTTGTATTTGAAGGACTCAGGATTCTGAACGGTGATAAAACTTGTCTAAAACCACAGCCAGGACTCAAACTCACGTCCTCTGTTTCCTACTTTAAGCCCTTTGTTGTCACAAGGCTCCTCCTAGTCTGCAGTGTACCCAGGGCGGTAGACTGAATTAATGGTCCCAGTTCTCCAGTCCTTCCTGGGTCCATGCCCTTTGTCATCTAACGCAGTGGTGCCTCCCACTCTGACTCAGGTTGACCAGGTGACTCACTCTGAACCAGTGGAAAGTTGGCTAAGTGTGGTGCTTGCAGAAATTTGAAAGTCACCCACATGATTGGGCTTCCTGCTCGTGCCATCTGCCATTGCCCTGAGAAGCAGACATGTGGAGTATGAGACACATGTGGAGCACGTGTGGAGCTGAGTCACCCTAACTGCATAGCCAAGGCCAGCCTACATCAGCCAACACCCAGAACCAAGGAAGTCCAGCCATATCAACAGATAACTATGCAGACACTGGAGCAATAAATGCTTACTGTTAGGTGCCACTGAGGTACTGTGATTTTTACATGGCATACTGTAATGTATGATATGCCAGTACCAGCATTTTTTCCACAGTACCTATATTCCTGTGTGTACCACACATAACCTATGTTTTCCCCTTTGTTTTGTACGCTTTAGATCCTTCCTAAATAGCACAGGTTAAAGATTTGAGGCTCATGCTTTCTGCAAATATATTCTAAGAAGTGATGAGGAGGCATTCGTGCTAAGGCTTCACCTTCCCCCTCTCTCTCCAGGTATCATCACTCACGTTATTGGGGAAAGTTGCATCAACCTCCTCCTGCAGCTTTTGTTGGATGTCAGGGTGAGTGGCCAATTCATATATAACGAAGGAAAGACAACTGCTAGTGGTCTCGTAGCCAGCAAAAATAAAGATGATACTTTGGGCCATGAGTTCTGTGTCAGACAGAGCTAAAAGGAGAGGAGAGACATTTTAGATAAACCACATCAATATAAAACATCACAGTTTAGATGAAATCCAAATGAAGCTGCCACATCCCTAGCGGGAAAATGTAAAAGCAACTGAAAATTAAACTGGCAGTGCTTTGTGTTCTCATGTCTTCCTTAAAGAGCCAGAAAAAAGCAAGAATTGTCTGAATCCAGCTTTCCCCAGTGCCTATACTCTCCTCGGCCCCTGCTGCTGACTACGCCACCTCCCTCACGGCACAGCTGGGTAATTTCAAGAGACAGCAATTTTGTCTAACTTACACAGTACTATTAGTATGTCCCTTGGAGAATCCTACAAGTGCTTTAGCTGTAATTAATATGGGGTAACATTCTCTTCCAGAATAATTTAATTTATTCTAGCTAAAGTAAAACTTGATTCTTTGGCAGATTTTACAAGACTAAGGCTATATTATAGGGAAAATGAAGTTATCTTTTATCTAAACATGTTTGTGGGAACTTAAGAGAACAATATAAGGCTGTTTCTACTCAAAGTGTGTTGATGGACCTCGAGCATCACGAACATCTGGGAACTTATGAGAAATTCAGAGTCTTCAATCCTAAACTAGAACTACAGAATCAGAACTTTCACGATATGTGATGACTTGCGAGCAAAACCTGGCCTGAGAAGCATGGATTATACATTTGACAGGCATCAGGCAATGGAAGACCTGGGGCATAAGTCTTCTCTGGGGGATCTCAGATATGTACAGAAACTACAGAGATTGACTAAAAGCTAAAAGAGTTGTGATTGACCCTAGTCTAATCAATGGCATTAAAGTAGCAGAAGGAAGAATGTGTCCCTAGTTAGTCAGCACGCAGTATAGAAAAATAGGGTCCAGGGAGTGGAATTAGCAATGCTTATTCAATCATGGCCTGAATGTCATCTTCTCAGTACACGCCCCCTCTCTTTGCTCTCCTTTAGCCTCACTAAACAGCCCATGTAATTATAAATAGGTCTCTCTTTTTATTTTCTCCCAAGAGACCAAGCGTGATCAGGCTCTTATCTATTTGATGGGACTGAAGTAGGACCTTTAGTTACTTAGAGCGCTCAGATCAATGTGGTACCTGCCCCAACCAAGCAATTCACACACACACACACAAACAATACAAAATGAGTGTGAAAAAGATCTACACATAGTTTTAGATATATTTATAGTGGTGTGCTGGCGTCAGCTCGTCCCTGCTCAAGAACAATTTTTTTAAAATTCAAGAATTTTGTGAGATGGTTGTCAAACCATTCATAGCTTGAAATTAACCACATGGGAGTATTCATGTCATGGAATAAACTAAAGATCAGGGCCTTCTTGTTTGAAAGAACAAGGCTGTTTATATCACTGTTTATGGGTGATACAGAAATCCTTATGTTCATCAGTCTTGTAGAAATATATTTGATGTTCTTAACTTTGTCCATTGAGAGGATCTAGAAGCAAAGAAACCCTAGTAGCTATGAGCATTCCTAAGATCCCAGATTTTGATTTCTAAATACCATTTCTCACTAAAGGGAACCAGAGTTCCTTGGGAAAAAATGGCTGATTCCAGGGCTACTCAGGGGAAATAAAAGAGAAACCTGGACTGTCTTACATCAGAAAGTGAGGAAGTTCCCCAAAAATGATAGATTAAAGAATACTGGATACTCTGTGTGTTGTAATGGTGGATATAGCTCATTATACCTTTGTCAAAAACCCATGGAATGTACAAAACCAAGAATGAACCCTAAGGTCAACTATAGACATTGGGTGATAATAATGTATTAATGTACGTTCATTGATTGTAACAAGTGCACAACTCTGGTATCATCTTTTGATAGTGGGGAAGCTGTGTGTAGTTGGGGTAGGATGTATATACTGGAAATCTCTGTACTTTCCACTCAATTTCGCTGTGAACCTAGCTGCTCTAAACAATAGTCCGTTAAAAAAAAAAAAGATTTAAAAAGAAGAAAAGAAAAGAAAATACAAGATCGCGCTTGAAAAAGCTCCAGTGGACAAAACTGAAAGAACCTGAAAATCAAAATGAAGAATGATGTAAGAGAGTAACTTAGTTATACATGAGATCATGCTGATATAAATAAACAAATAAATGATTGGGGGAGAATGGAGAGCTCTCCCTACAAAAGAACATCAATTCATAAATACAGAAGAATGATGGAATTAGAAAGTCATCATATTGCAACCACCATAGTAACAATGGTTTCAGTCAAAAACCATCCGTGGATGGTAAAACTAGTGGGTGACAATTTGAAGAGGAACACTATATTTCCAGTCTCAAAGGTTTCTCCCACCAGCTGCTTGTTAATGACAAAGGAAAAAATTGAACTTTACAGTAGACTAAGCTAGTGAACACAACTTTAACCAAGTGTTCCAAGTTAAGGTCATCAACACTGGGGCAATGTTCCTCCTGATGGGATGAAGCCTTGATGCAAATTTCCAGGCAGAGGTTCTGACTCACTGGGTCCAGAGGAGCCTGAGAATTGACATTGGAAACAAGTTCCCCAGAGGTTCGGCTGTAGGTGATCCACAGAGCATGACTGACTGATGGGCATGACATCCTTGTTATACTTGCCCTTCGAGCTCTGAACAAGGTTGTGCCTGCGTACTTCTAGAAAGTACCTCTGGCTACCATTTCTGTCTGACCACGTGTCTTCCTTCAACTTGGCAGAAATCCCCAGCTGCCTGGAAAACTTCCTGCACATTTTCAGAACCACCCCCTAGCTCTGCACCCCACCGACAGTGGCCCCTCGGAAGCTCTCCCTGGTTACCTTTACGGGTGTCCACATCTTTGGAATTCTGAGAGTTAATCATCAGCTGAAGAAGATCCACTCGGTGCTGGAAACAGAAAGAGAAATGTCAATGGCGGAAAGCCACCTGTGAAGCCAGAAATAAATCAGGAGTGCACATTTCACACCTCTTTCCTGAGAATACGGCCCCTTAAAGAGCAGAAGGCTGACGAGTACTGACTAAGTCCTCAGTGACCAAAACATCCACCTACAAATCTTAGAGAGCATGATGTTTCCCTGAGAGAAACCCAGCCATCACGCCCATCTGCTCTTTGGTCCTCACTCTCTCTGATCTTTGGTTTCTCTGGCTTTTGAAACAGCTTCTTAACTAAAGAGTTATCTGCTCTCTCTCCTGTCATACCTGTTTGCTTAGGAAAAGATCCATGACATCAGTTCCTGTTTTCCCTCCAACTTTAATCCTTTTTATTTATTTATTTATTTATACAGCAGGTTCTTTTTAGTTATCAGTTATCCATTTTATAGATATTAGTGTATATATGTCAATCCCAATCTCCCAATTCATCACACCACACCTGTGAAGCCATCTGGTCCTGGGCTTTTGTTTGTTGGAAGATTTTTAATCACAGTCTCGATTTCAGTGCTTGTGATTGGTATGTTTATATTTTCTATTTCTTCCTGGTTCAGTCTCAGAAAGTTGTGCTTTTCTAAGAATTTGTCCATTTCTTTCAGGTTGTCCATTTTATTGGCTACAGTTGCTTGTAGTAATCTCTCATGATCCTTTGTGTTTCTGCAGTGTCAGTTGTTACTTCTCCTTTTTCATTTCTAATTCTA